GTGACAACCCGTAACCCCAGTTCCAGGGAATCCAACAGGCACACGCGTGGTGGCATACATACATGTATGCAGGCAAAATGTTCATACAGGTTATGGTAGTTTGAATGAAAATGGCCCCACAGAGTCATGGGGACTGGTATTATGGGAGATGTGGCCTTGTCGGAGTAGCTGCAGTAGTGTTGTTGAAGGAAGTGTGTCACGCTGCGGGGGACAGGGACAGGACTTTGAGGTCTCAGAAGCTCAAGCAAAAAAGCCCAACTAACATAGAAGTTGGTCCCAGGGACTGGTACCTATCATAGTGTGGTGGTTTGATTAGGTGTGGCCCCCAAAGACTCTTGTGTTTGAATGCTTGACCTATAGGGAGTGGAACCATTAGGTGTGGCCTTGGGGTAGGTGTGGTCTTGTAGGAAGTGTGTCACAGTGGGAGGTGGGCTTTAAGGTCTCATATGCTCAAGCCACGCCCAGTGTGGGACACAGTTCACTTCCTGTTGCCTGTGGATCGAGATTTAGACCTTTCAGCTCCTCCAGCACCGTGTCTGCCTGCAGGCCACCATGCTTCTGGCCATGGTGATGATGGACTGAACCCCTGAAACTGTAAGCCAGCCCCAGTGAAACGTTCTTGATAAGAGTTGCCGTGGTCACGGTGTCTATAGAAGCCCTGACTAAGACATACATACATACATAAGTCTAAAATTAGGTTTTTAAGAATCTTAAATCAGGCAGTGGGCAGCCAAAAACACATTTATCTGTTGATGTCTGGCAAATATTCAGGGTGATGGACTATCGATTGATACTGCTCAGTACACAAAGTGGCAGAAAGGGCCTCTGATGTGGAGATGACTTTACCTGTTTAGCTTCCTCCACTATCCCTCCTGGCACAAGCTGTCCACTGGAGGGATCCAAGCCAACCTGTCCAGAGACGTAAATGGTCCTGTCCACTAGCACAGCTTGGCTGAAACGAACAAAAGCCGACGTATACGTAAAACAGACAACATGGAAGTCAATACTAAAACAGTAATTTAATAAGATACAAGAGTACAAATCGGAAGATTAAAAAAGCTGGCAAGCTGGGCGTTGGTGGCGCCTGCCTTTAATCCCAGCACTCGGGAGGCAGAGGCAGGTGGATCTCTGTGAGTTCGAGGCCAGCCTGGTCTCCAGAGTGAGTGCCAGGATGGGCTCCAAATCTACACAGAGAAACCCTGTCTTGAAACCGCCCCCCCAAAAAAAAGCTGGCAAATGTGACTTTTGCTAAATCAAAGTTTAGTTTATTGACCGCCATACTTAAGAAAGTAAAAAAAAAAAAAAAAAGTTGGAGGGTGGGAAAGGATATTTACAAGATATATCTAACAAAGGACTTGCACCCGGAGTATATGAGGAACTTGTAACTAAATAATGTTAAGCCATACAACCTGATAAAACATAGGCGATTGATTTTGGTAGGTACTCCGTAAGACGTACAAACAACTGAGTAGTACAGGAAAGAGGCTGTGTTACGATATGCAAATCTAAACAAAGATGCCACCGACATCACAGCTGTGATAACAAGCATAAGACACACTGGAAAAAGTAGAGTGCCCGGAGCCTTCATAATAGGACACACTCTGGAAAACAACTGGACCATTTCTTTCTCTCTCTCTCTCTCTGTCTTTTTTATGGTTTTTTGAGACAGGGTTTCTCTGTGGGTTTGGAAGCTGTCCTGGCACTCTCTCTGTAGACCATGCTGGTCTCAAACTCCCCTGCCTCTGCCTCCCCAGTGCTGGGATGAAGGGCATGAGCCACCACTGCCTGGCTCTTTATTTTTAAAAAAATTATTATATATACAGTATTCTACCTACATGTATGTTTATACGCCAGAAGAGGGCACCAGACCTCATGTGGTTACTGAACTCAGGACCTTTGAAAGAGCAGGCAGTGCTCTTAACTACTGAGCCATCTCTCCAGCCCTGGGCCATTTCTTAAAATTTCAACATATACTCAACACACTGCCCAGTACTATCCCGTCCCCCAGGCAACTATGCAAATGAGAATAAAAACACATCCAAAACTTTACAGGAATGTTTGGAAACAACTTTCCAATAAGCAAGCAAGCAAGCAACAAACAAAAAAACCCCACGGCTAGCTAAACCCAATGGATTGTTTGATGGATTCCAGCAGACAAACTGTTAGGAACCCTTAGGAAAAGGTGCTCAGTGGGAGAAAGGTTCCCTACTGCTTGTTTAGCTCAGATGCATTTTGCACAGGGCTTACTGTGAGCTTCTCTGTGCATATTCTTCATTGATTTTTAACAGCTACAGCATATTGCATCATAGAGATATACTTTAATCACCTTTTATTCCATTGTTGTTCCATATGAGGTTACGCTGAAACCAACCCCCAACCCTCCACATCCATGTCTGTCTGTCTGTCTGTCTGTTTCCACTAGATCATAGGGATCTCCTTCTTAAAACTTTTTTTTTTGTCCTCAAACTCACAGAGATCCACCTGCCTCTACCTCCCAAGTGCTGGAATTAAGGTGTGTGCCACCACTGGGCTCAAAATAGTACTTTTGCGGGCATTGCTTTGCCTTTTGAGACGGGGCTTTCATCATGTCGCCCTCCTTGGCCAGCCTGAAACTTGCTGTGTAGTCTAGGCTGGCTTGAACTTATGGAGATCCTCCTGCCTCTGCCTCGTGAGTGCTGCATTACAGCTATGTGCCACAGCACACAGATAAAGAAGACAGTTTTAAAGAAAGTTCATATTTTTTTCTTTTTTTTTCTATTTTTGAGACAGAGTCTCCTGTAGCCCAGACAGTTAAACAGCCTCACTACATAGCTATTTTGAACTCCAGATCCTCCTGTCTCTGCCTCCCAAGTGCTGGCATTGCAGTCACACACCACCACCCCGGGGCTTTAAGGAACTTTGTTTGTTTTCTTGAGACAGGATCCCACTATGTAGCCCTGGCTTTCTTGGATCTCAGAATGTAGACTAGGCTGGCCTTGAACTCACAGAGTCTGCCTCCCTCTGGCTCCAGAGTGCTGGGATTACAGGAGTGTGCCACTATGCCCGGTTCTCAGGAATGTCCTGTTCTGAGTCTGTCTCCCAGAGTGTGTGAGACTGTAAACTTGCGAGGGTAGGGCTCTGTCTGTAGCTCTGCAGGCCTGGCTGACTTGATTCTCTGCACACAGCACCCGTGCTGTGTCTGCTGCTGCACCAGTCATCCTGGCTGTCAAAGCCGTGTTCTCTGTGGGACCTCCAAGTGCTGCACTGGTCGACTGCCAATGCAGAGGCCACAGAGTTCTCCTGGACTCTTGGCTTTCTTTCACCTGCACCTTCCAACAGATAACTAATGAGCTGGTTAATGTGTGAGTTTTTCTCAGCTTGAACAGTACCATTGGTTAACCATTAACCGACCCTTACACAATCAGGCCATCCTCACAAAAATATCTTCAGTTCTCCAGACACCCCAAAGAGTTTAAACTCAAATGTGTTATCAGCGATCAAAGGCTTTACAGTAGTGAAAAGAAATCCATTTACTCAGAATCACAAAAGCAATCATGGGAGGTAAGTTACATGAGCCTCCTCTCAAAGATTGACACTTTCTGGGCCTAAGAATCCTACTCATCCAGTTGTCGGGTTCCAGAAACTGTTTTTTTTTTTTTTTTTTTTTTTTTTTTTTTTTTTTTTTT